CCAAAGCACCCCTAAAAAACGGGGGGATCCTCGCACTGGAAGCACCTTTCACAACACACCCAGCGGAGGTGCTGTTTGTACGGACACAGTCCCGCCCCCTGGGGAGGAGACTGCGCTGGTGTGGGCCACGCAGGTGCAGTGCCAGGCCTGCATTCCCATTCGGCTGCCCTTTGGCCTCACAGCCTCGTAGCTCCTGAGCCTGCTCTGGAACTTGTGGAGAAGGGGGAGACTTTACTCCTGGGGTGGGGCTTTGGAGCAGGTCAGGTAACCTCGGTTATCCTTGTTTTCCAGGTGTGGTACCATGGAGGTGTTCCACAAATACTTGTTCAAGGAAGGAAGAAATGAGGGAGGGGGAAGATGGAGGGAGGGAGGAAGGAGAAGGATAGGGAGGGAGGAGGGGAGAGGGAAGGGAGGAGGAGGAGGGGAAGGAAAGAGGGAGGAGGGAAGGAGGAAGGAGGAAGGAGGAAGGAGGGGAGGGAGGGAGGGAGAGGGAGGAAGGAAAGGAGGAAAGAGGGAGGGAAAGGGAGGGAGGAAAGGAGGGAGGAGGAGAGGGAAGGAGGGAGCAGAGAGAGGAGGAGGGAGGGAGGGAGGGAGAGAGAAGAGGGAGGGGGAGGAAAGGAGGGGAGGAGGCAGGAGGGAGGGAGGAAGGAGGGATGAAGGGAGGGAGAGAGTCCTGGGTCCTCACCAGCATTTATTCCCAGGGTCCCACCGAAGAGGCTGCTGTAAGTCTCCGCTGTCTTGCTGTTAATTAACAACTGATTTAATGAGCATTGTGGCTATTTTAAAAATGATTTTTTATTGATGGAAGTAGTGACTTTTAATGAACCTGACGAATGCTAAACATGGACTCTATTGGTGCCATGACAAGACGTCCAGGCTCTGTGGGTCGACGGGAATCGCCGAAGACACTTCCGCCCGGGAGTGAACACGCATAAGGTGCGAGAGGCGGGCCCTCGGTACCCGCCCCCCCCCCCCCGGCTGGCTCCCCGGGGACGGGGCGTAGGGACACCTACTGGCTTAGGGGGGTTTCTGCTTGAAGCTTGTCAGCTTGAGGACACAGAACCCCGAGTCCCTGGCTGAACCCTTCACTCAGGGTTTCCTCTACGAACACATCGCGCTTACTACGCAGGGAGGGCGCTGGCCGCTCGGCCGCTAATGACGGTCATTACGGAGCTGTGTGGCCATGGTAATCTCATCACCACAGAGGTCAGCGGCGTCTGGAAAACCGTCCACCACAAACAGCCAGGAAGGGCATCTGGTGGCACGGCTGGTGTCGGACGGCAATGCCCCGGCTGGGAGAGGCTCACGCCGAGGGATGGGGCGTGCAGAGAAGTGAGAGCAAGATGAGCTCACCTCAGTGCCATGATGCGTGACGGAGAGGAAGGCGTCAGAGGGGAGCACGCAGGGCTTCCACCCGGGGAGCCCAGGAGACCTGCCCAGGGGTGCGGATGCCAGGTCTGGAAGGCGATGCAGAATGGGCCAGGAAGCTGGGGCTTTCTTTGGGGGGGAGACGGCCTATGTGTTAGAAGCAAAGGTGATAAAAATGTATTCCTACAAAAAGGAACAGATGCATTCCACACACACATCCTATCTAATAAGAGAGGAATATGCAAATTGACCATACCTCTGTCACACCCACAAGCCACGCCCACAAGCCAATCAGGAGCAAATATGCAAATAAGCCCAACCAATATGGCTGTGGCCACAGAGAGCAGGAGGGAGGCTTGGGTTTCCCCGGCAATGGAGGAAGCCAAGCTTTCCGCCTGCCCTTGTCGGCCTAGGCCTCCACTCAATGCTACAAAGTTTCAACGATAGAAGATAAATAAATCCAAACAGAAATGGCGGCAGCCACGGAGCTGGACAGAGCAGGAGGCTAGGGTTGCCCCCGGCGATGGAGGAAGCCAAGCTTCTAAAGCCCTGGCTTGCCTTGGCCTCCGCTCCAGGCTACAAAATTTCAATTATAGAAGATATGTAAGTCCCAACAGAAATGGCTGCCACCACGGAGCAAGAAGGAGGCTTGGCTCTGCTCCAGGCTACAAAGTTTCAATTGTAGAACATAACTAAACCCCAGATACCAGGGCCTCCGCTTGGGTCGCTGGGGGGCATGGCCAGCCTGAAAACCACCACAGGCCCTCGCCCAGGCAGTCCCACACCCCAAGGGAACCCCCACCCTGATCTGGGACAACCTTCAGGGCAAACCAGCTAGCCCCCACCCATGTACCAGGCCTCTATCCTATCTAATAAAAGAGTAATATGCAGATTGACCATCACTCCAACACACAAGATGGCTGCCCCCATGTAGTCAAAGATCCTGCCCCCATGTGGACACAAGATGGCCACCACAAGATGGCCAGCAGGGGAAGGCAGTTGGGGGTGATCAAGCCTGTAGGGGAGGGCAGTTAGGGGTGACCAGGCCAGCAGAGGAGGAAAGTTGGGGGTGACCGGGCCTGCAGGGAAGGGCAGTTGGGGGGGGGGGGACCCAGGCCTGCAGGGGAGAGCAGTTGGGGGGACCAGGCCTGCAGAGGAGGGCAATTAGGGGTGACCAGGCCTGCAGGGGAGGGCAGTTAGGGGCAAACAGGCTGGCAGGGGAGCAGTTAGGCATCAATCAGGTTTGCAGGGGAGTGGTTAGGGGGTGATCAGGCTGGTAGGCAGAAGCGGTTAGGGGCAATCAGGAAGGCAGGCAGGCAAGCAGTTGGGAGCCAGCAGTCCTGGATTGTGAGAGGGATGTCCGACTGTTCGTTTAGGCCCGATCCCAGATCGGGCCTAAACGGGCAGTTGGACATCCCTCGAGGGGTCCCAGATTGGAGAGGGTGCAGGATGGGCTGAGGGACAACCCCCCTCCGTGCACGAATTTTGTGCACCGGGCCTCTAGTCCTATATAATAAGAGAGGAATATGCTAATTATCCTCACGGCATAACGACTGACTGCGTAACTACTGGATCATGGATCTGCAGGAGGGTGGGGCAGCGAACTACAAGTGGGCAGCAGAGAGCTACAAGAGGGGGCAGGGAAGCAAGCTATGAGGGAGGGGTGGGGGGAGCTACAGGAGGGTGGGCCAGTGGGTGGAGAGCTACAGGAGGGCGGCAGCGACCTACTGGCGCAGGGATTCGTGCGCAGGGTTACTAGTATATATATAAAATAATAAAAGCGTAATATGCTAATCAGACTGGACGTCCTTCTGGACAAAGCCGGGACTGAGAGGGAAGCCCGATTCCCGGGTGCCAGAGGAAAGCAGTGCCAGCCGCCAGGAGAAGGAAGGCCTACTCTTTCATGAATTTCGTTCCTCGGGCCTCTAGGATATATACCCTGAGTGGCCAGATTATGATGATCTTTGGATGCATAATAATCTGGCCACTCAGTGTATATATTAGAGGCCCGGTGCATGAATTCGTGCATGGGTGGGGTCCGGCCAGCCTGGCCACGGGGAGGGGACAAGGGCAGTTGGCCGGTCTGCCTGCTGGTCGAACTCCTGGTCAAGGGGACAATTTGCATATTAGCCTTTTATTATATAGGATATACACGGAGTGGCCAGATTATTATGCGTTCAGAGATCATAATAATCTGTCCACTCAGTGCGTATATACACACACACACACACACTACACACACACACACACACACACACTATACACACACGCACGCACTGAGAAATGTCCACCCAAAGACTGTGTTGAGCGTTTTAAATACGCCTGGTCTGCAAAATAGATCTGCACGTTTCTGTTTGTACAAAACAGCAGGTGACTCTCCAACCACACCTGTCACAGGTGACTGAGCAAGTAACCCGCCCGCTGAGGAGCGGCCGCCGTCCTGTAGGAGGGCCACCGTTCGTGCGAGGAATCACACCAGTGGGAGTACTGGCCGCGAAGTAACGGGTTCCCGCCCTCGATGTGGCCTTCAGCAACCGGAGCAAACCGCCTCAGCTCCCCAGACGGCCCACCCGAGAGGGTGGGTGCGAACAGGACACGGCGCGCCTCCCTCACCCACAGGCGTGATGAACACACCCAGGGTCCTTTCCCTGCGCACAATCAATAAACACTATCGGCCTCTACGTGAGAAGAAGAGTCATCGCTTACTCAGTACGTCACACATGCTTACTGTGAATTCTTTTTTTAAAATATACGTTTATCGATTTCAGAGCAGAAGGGAGAGGGAGAGAGAGAGAAAACATCAATGATGAGAGAGAATCATGGATCGGCTGCCTCCTGCACGCCCCACAGTGGGGATGGAGCCTGCAACCAGGCATGTGCCCTTGACAGGGAATCGAACCAGGGACCTTTCAGCCCACAGGTCAACGCTCCATTCACTGAGCCAAACCAGGTAGGGCGGAGGGTGGTATTTATCCACTATGGGCCAAGGGTGGTATTTATCTATTAAATCTAATTTAATAAAATCCTGTGACTTAGAAAACTGAGGCCTAAGGAGCTTAAGTAACTTGTCCAAGGATCCCTGTTGTCCAAGGTCACCCTGTTGTTCAAGGTCACCCTGATGTTCAAGGTCACCCAGCAAGAAGGATCCCCAACTGTTAACACAACAGCAGGACGGACTTTGAATCTAAAGCCAAATTTGTTAGATTCCAACCTGGTCCCCAAGTCACCACCACAGAAAAATGATAAAACTGAAAAGATGCATTGCTTTCGATGTTTAGATACCCACGTGTACCGAGAATGAAACCAAAGCTCAGCTTGTGGCAGTGAGAGGAGCCACTTTCCAAAATCAGCCTGAAGCTTTAGAGGCGAGTCTGGAAGTGAGAAACCATCTCTTCTGAAGACCCTTTATCACTGCAGCCCGAGGGCTGTGAGAGATGGGGGAGGGGACGGAGCACGTGTCTGACAGAACGCCGTGTAAGAAACCAAGTCCGCCTGTGGCAACAGGAACGGCAGAGCCGGTCAAATTCCGGGCCTAGCATGTTTGGCTGTGGTCCTTGGGCAAATTACTTCACCTGTCTACGTCTCCTTTTCCCAAGTGGCAGGTGACAATAATAATAATTGCTTTCAGTCCGGCCGGTGTGGCTCAGTGGCTGAGTGTCGACCTAGGAACCAGGAGGTCATGGTTCAATTCCCTGTCAGGGCTTATGCCGGGGTTGGGGGCTCCATCCCCAGTGTGGGGCGTGCAGGAGGCAGCTGATCCATAATTCTCTCTCATCACTGATGTTTCTACCTCTCTCTCCCTCTCCCTTCCTCTCTGAAATCAATATTATATATTATATATATATATATATATATACACATATATATAATATATATATATATATATATATCCTACCTAATAAAATAGTAATATGCAAATTGACTGCACCTTTGCTACGCCCAAGCCACACCCACCAGCCAATCAGGGTGAGTATGCAAATTACCCAACAAAGATGGCGGTTAATTTGCATACACTGAGGGAGGGAGGAGTGAAGACTGAAGACAACTTAGAAGGAAGAGGGAGGAAAAGCGGAAAGCAAGGTGGCTGCCAAAGGGAAAGCCCGGGCGGGGCGGAGCGGGGCGGGTGGCCGCTTGCAGGATTCTTCCTGCAAATGGGCTACTATATATATATATATAAAAATATTTTTTTTTTAATTGATTTTTTACAGAGAGGAAAGGAGAGGGAGAGAGAGTTAGAAACATCGATGAGAGAGAAACATCGATCAGCTGCCTCCTGCACACCCCCTACTGGGGATGTGCCCGCAACCAAGGTACATGCCCTTGACCGGAATCGAACCTGGGACCCTTGAGTCTGCAGGCCGACGCTCTATCCACTGAGCCAAACCGGTTAGGGCTCAATAAGATATGTTTTAAAAAATAATAATTGCTGTCAGAGAGAACGCAAACACGGGATGGGTAGAAGGTAGAGAACTCAACCCGGGATGGCAGCGCTGCATGGCCATTAACAACCGCGTGTTCACACACGTGACTGCCACACCAGCCCCGAGAGGCGTGGGGCGGCCTCGCCGCCCAGCTCTGCACACGGCCCGCCGTCCCCGCCACAGAGCCGAGGGCAGCTGAGGCCACCCCCAGGGAGCCTCCGAAACCCGGCCGCCCTCTGCACACGGACCCCCAGTCCCATCTCTGGGGCCAAAGAAACACGGCGAACACGCGGGCCAAGCTGGCACCGCCCCTCCGCTGCTCTGGTCTCCCTTCGGCATCGGCAGACCTGACACGGGTCTCCTGGGCACACGAACCCCGCACCTGCTCTCGGCTTGCGGGGGCCCTTGTTCACGCCTGACCCTCAGGGTCCTCCACGCTCTGTGGAGAGAGTGTCCCCTGGAGGGGGCTCTGGGGACGTGGACACCCCCACCCCACCCCTGCACTGAGCAGACACACCCCCTTTCCCCTCCTCAGTCCCCCCAAGGGGCCAGGAGTCAGACATCTTCGGGCCAATACCTTGGTGTCTCGAACTGGCACCCGCCACCACGGACGAGCAGCGAGGCTCGGAAAGTCTCTCGTTTCAGGAAAACCCAGCACAGCCAGACCCAGGCTGAGCGCAGCCTCCCGGTGACGGTGCCAGGGAACCGGCGACCGGAGGGGCAGGCTTTTTCTCTGAAAACACACCACCCTGAGCGGGTCGCCTCCCGGGAAAACACGTGCTGGGAGCCCAGCGTCTGCAGGAACGGCCTCAAGGAAAACCGACTTTTTTTTCAATGGGAGCAAGAGAACACCCCCATGAAGCCGGGCCGGGTTTCCGGGTGCCTGACACACGTGAGCGAATGACAACGAAAACCAAGCAGGACATTCCGGGTGCGAGGGCCACCCCTCCCCACACCGCAGGCTGGGCTGCGGGCGAGCCGGGCCAGGACAGTCACCCCAGGTCAGCCGGGGGCCCTCGGTCTGCCCCTGGAATGCCTTAGGTGCCCCGGGCACTTTTCATGACGCTGTGACTTACTAAACGATCCCCCTAAAACCCGAGAAAACACGAATGTCCCAGCCGATAGAACAGATGTTCCGAGCATTCGCCACTGCCATGGGCAGCCCCCGCCCCTGAGAATAACACTGCCCTCCTCCCTTTTAACTTCCTGTTGGTTATCTGTTGTCTAGGGAGGGGGGAGAGGGGGAGGGAGGAGATGGGGGGCCACAGGAAGGGAACCTCCATACTCTGACAAGATCACAGGAACCACAATGTTTCTGCAGAAACACACGATTCTCCTACCAGGACCTGTGCGTCCTCTGCACATGTGTAACTGATTACATGCTTATTAATAGAACATGTTGGCTCTACTGCATTTGCATGTCAATCTAATAACTGCCTCTGCATATGCATGCACATGGGTGTCCGTACAGACACAGACACACACACACACACACACACACAGACACACACACACACAGACACAGACACACACACACACACTCAGAGTCCAGGAGCCCAAAGGCCGCCTTGGCCGGCTAGGCTGTGGCCGGAGAGGACCTCGTGGGCCCGGGGGCGGGAGCGGAGCAGCCTAGGTAACCGCTGGGGCTGACAGCGCCTGCCCCCAGCACCTCCCAGCTCAGCCTCTCCATCTGGGGGCGTCTCTGCTCCTGTAGAGGGGGCTGCGCCCCTGGTCAGGGGGCCCCATGGGCACCTTCATGGACGGGGCAGGAGGTGGTGGAATGGGAACAGGAGTCCCCTCCACACCCCAGCAGTGGCTCCCCTGTCCCCGTCCAACCTGGGAGCCCGGCCACCGCGCTGATGAAGTCCAGATGCACCCCAATGCTCGCCCCCACCCCCCAGGTCCCCAACCCCCAGCCCCAACCCCACCCAGCCTCTCCGACAGCCCTCCGCGCCCCTCCCCCGCTGGCTGCAGGCGCCGCAGGGGTGCGGGGTGGCGCACGGGGGAGGTCGATGGGAGCTCCCTCCGCACCCACGGGGACGCCCTAGCGGTCCCCTGGGGAGGGGGCTGCCCGCCACACGGACACGCTGGGGAGGCCAAGGCTCGGCGGGGCCTCCTCCCCGAAGGAAGGGAGCGGGGCGCGGGGCGCGGGGCGCGGGGCGGGGGGCGCGGGGCGCGGGGCGCGGGCGGGCGGCTTACCACGAGCGCGGGGACCCCGGCGGCCAGCGAGTAGAGGAGCGCGGGCGGCACGGCGCTGCTGTCCTCGGGGCCCGGGTAGGGCTTGCGGTAGGCGCTGTCGTGGCAGAAGAAGCCCTGCACGTTCACGGCGAACGTGTCCGTGTACTCGAAGTAGTACGCCAGCATCACGGTGCCTGCCATGATCACCATCTGGAAATAGAGCATGCTGCTGGGCCGCCGCTCCGCCGAGCCGAGCAGCCGCGGGCGGGCGGGCGCCGAGGCGGAGGCGCGGAGGCCGGGGCGAGGCGCGGCGGGCGGGGCGGGGGCGGCTCCCCCCGGACGGCCCCGCTCCCCTCCCGCCCCCTGCCCTCTGCAAGCGCCGCCCGCTGGGGCGCGGGGTCGCGCGGGAGGGCGGGGAGCCCGGGGCGTGGGAGCCTCCTTGGTGCAGCGGCGCCGGTCAAGCCCCCAGGCCGGCGCGGAGGAGGCGGCGTCGGCTCGGACAGCGGCACCTGCGCCCCTCGGAGGGCGCGCGCGGTGGAGCAGGAGAAGCTGCTCGCGGGGGGCGAGGGGAACCCGGATCGGGGGGGGGGGAGGGGGGCGGGGAGGCGGCTGAGAAGGAGCCGCTGGAAACTCCCTTCCGAGGCGGCCGCTGGGCGGTTCAGGAAACCCGCACGGCGCCGGGGAGAGCGGGGCGCGCACGCGTCTGCGGAGCGCAAACGCCACCGAGCGACTCCCAGCCCGCGCGCCCTCGGCCGGCTTCGCGGGGCGCAGGACGCACGCCCGGCGCTGGTGTGCGGGCGCCGCTGGGACGGGCATCCCGGGGGGCTGGAGCCGCGGGGCCGCCTCTCCTCCGGCGCCGGTGCCGGGCTGGGCGGGTGGAAGCCGCGATCCCGCGCGCTGTCCCCGGCGCAGCGGCCCCGGCCGGCCCCGTCTCCCCCGCCTGCTCATCTTCCGTCTGCCATCATTAGCGGCTGTGAGGCCAGCCAGGGCGGATTCCGGGGACGGGGGGGGCGGGGGCAGCCGCCGGAGAGGAAAGGGCTGTTTGCCTCATTTCGCTGCTCCTTGAGTCCCTGATTCCCCAGGGGCCAGGAGACCGGGGGCGGGCACACCGCATGCATACGGAACATGCATACGGAACATGCACACAGAACGCACCCTGCGTGCGCGGACACGCGTGTGCGTGGGAGGGAAGTCACGGTGGAACCCCACAGGTGTACAGAGCCCGCTTCCTGAGGCCATGTGGGGTGCCTGTCTTGCATGTTAAGTTTAAGCAGCACATTTGGGGAGGGGGGGGGGCTCCCCAGAGCCTGCCACTGCTCACACGCCCCACTCCAGAGAGCAGGTAAGGAAGCGTGTGTAGGAGGCAAAGGGATGAAAATGTTCCTGTCCTTCTTAAAACGTGGCATTGCCTTCCGGGTTTCTGGAATGTTCGCCTTAAAAGGCCATTTGCATTTGCAGGTGATGGGTGGTTTGGGGGTGCTGTTCTGATGGCGGTGTGAATTCTTCCACGTTGCTACAGACATCGTTTAATAACGCACGGCCAAGCGCTGACCAGACAGGCGACACCAGGCAGCAGGTGCCATCCGGGGCGGTGGAGCGAGCGGCCCCTACATGGGCCGTGTTCTGGTAAGATTGTGCTGCCCAGACGGTGTGGCTGCTACACGGATACCTGGTGGATTGCTCCATTCAGAGAACCATTCTGAGACTCCACAGGACTCCCCAACCTTCCCACTGAACGGAACTCCCGGAAGGGTGGTGTTCATTTTTAAGTTCGCACCGTTACCTTTGGGTTAGGGAGAGTCTCGTGTAGGCGACGTGTTCATGCATCACTTCCTAAATGAAAACGCATTGTGATCCACTGTGAAGGAGTAGTGAGTGCCCAGCAGAGTCCCACAACAGAGGGTCCCTGTCTGTCATGTCCCGGCTCTGCCCCCAGGGGGAGCCCCGTTTGCACACTGTAGGTATTCCAGAAGGGTCCCTTGAATAAATCAAACTAAATCAATGAACTCACTCCTCTAAGAACAGCAGGGAAGGGTTCTCACATAGAAAGTTTATGTCAAGGGTTAGGGGTCCCCACCTTCATGTCCCCAGGTAAACTCGGGGC